CTGGAGCAGAGCTAGGCTGATATGTCATGTGCATTTTAGCCAGATAGATATGTTTCAGCAGTGACTGCTCCCTGCATTGAATTTTGTTAACTGCCATGAAATTTCTCCTTAGTCCATGTCCATTCTTACTACTTTGACTTACAGTTGTGATACAATATTTAGTTCAATTATTGGAGTGGGAAATTGTGCAGTCAATAGAGTATAATATTTGAAGTACTGTGCATACCATACCATTCAAGAGACCAAAGAAAAATAGCATGTTTTCATCCAATGTTGAGCTATTGGGATCTGGGCTATAGAAAATTAGGGTAACTTCCAGTGGTAGTATTCAATTTTTTTCCCTACTGGTTCTATGGCCGTGGTTTGTTAGGGGCAGGTCATGTGACTGAGTGGGTGTGTCCAACTTGACATCACTCGTGCCCATGCCCACTCAGTCACATGACCCCCCCCCACCAAGCCACGCCCACATAACCCAGTAGGAAAAAAATGAATTTCTACCTATCTACCTATTTTCTGCCCAGGCAGGCCTGGCCTAATCCTGCATGCCACCCGCTCTCCCTTTACCAGTCACATGCTTCACCCCATTTCCCCTCTTTCAGAGGCCCGGGTCCTTAATCTCCCTGTTTCTCCCTATTACTTTTATCGTCCCACACCCATGACTTTACTTTCCTCCTGCGACTGGCTGCCAGGGAAGGCAAGCCAGCGATGAGCCATTGTTGACACTGGGCTCCCTGCCAGCCCATATCTCGCCCTTGTCATGAGATGCCTGCAGCCTCTGCGTGTTTTTTTCAGTGCGGCTGGATTCCAGCCACACCAAAAAAAAAAAAAAAGACGTGGCGGCTGTAGGCTTCTTTGCAGTGAAAATTACTGACCTCCAGCTTTGCTCCACTTCTGCAATGTGTCGCCGCTGTGTTCTAGGCACCAGCCATGCAGGTCCACCCCACTGAGCCCACTGCACTGCTCCATTTGGATTTGCTTGGGCAAGTCCCTCCAGTGCAGCAGGCTCAATGGGGTGGGCCTGTATGGCCGGTGCCTAGAACGCAGTGGTGGCAGTGCATTACAGAAGCAGAGCAAAGCCAGAGGTCAGTAATTTTTGCTACAAAGAAGCCTATAGCTGCCAACCTCTGGCTTTGCTGCGCTTCTACAACACGCCGCCACCGCCTCATTCTAAGCGCTGGCCATGCAGGTTCACACCATTGAGCCCGCTTTACCACTCCATTCTGATTTGCTTGGGCAAGTCTCTCCAGTGCAGCAGCCTCAATGGGGTGGACTTGCGTGGTCAACATCTAGAACACGGCCACGGCAGAACATTGAAGAAGCGGAGCAAAGCCAAAGTTTGGCAACTGTAGGCTTCTTTGCAGTGAAAATTACCTGTCCCTTTAAGGTACTTCAATGTGAAAGGAGGGACCAAAAAGGGACAGGAGCTGCCTTCCAACTCCCGGCCAAGTTTTGCCATGTCCCTGTTCCCCCACCAAGAAGCCTCCAGCGATCACCTCTTTGCTGGCAGGAGAATCCTCCACAACCGCTCCTGGCTCGGTTCTGGCCAGCAAAGAAGTGGCAAAAAGATGCGATGACTATAGGCTTCTTGCAGCAAAAATTACTGACCTCCAATTTTGCTCCGCTTCTGCAACATGTCACCACCACCACGTTCAAGGCGCCGGCCATGCAGGTCCACCCCATTGAGCCTGCTGCACTGCTCCATTTGGATTTGCTTGGGAAAGTCCCTCTACTGCAGCAGGCAACGGGGTGCATGTCTATGGCCAGTATGAAGAACAGGGCAGCAATAGTTGTGGGACTGAAGCTCTTTTTTGGCACGTTCAAAAAGCAGAGGCCGGTAATTTTCGGTGTAAGAAGCCACCAGTCAGCCAGCTCAGTTCCGGCTGGCAAAGAGGCATCAGCTGGGAGGCTTCTCGCACTGAAAAAAAGAGGCAGCGATTGCAGGCATCTCGTGACAAGGGGGGCAAGAGCCGGGCTGGTGGGGAGCCCAGCAACTCTCCTCCCTGGCTTGCCTTCCCTGGCAGCCAGCCACGGGAGGAAGGTAAGGTCACGGCCATGATAAAAGAGGCAGTTGTAGGGGAGGAAGCGAGGAGATTAAGGGCCAGGGCCTCTGGAGGAGAAAATGGGAAATGCATTGCACTTAAGGGAGAGGGGGTGGTGAGCGAGTGGTGGCTCTGGGGCAAAGCCAGAACCAGGGTATCCCCGACCCAGCCAAGGTATCCAGTGGCTCCAGGGCCTCGGGGAATAGCTGAGCTAACCAGGCAAGGCAACTGGTGAGATGATTAGCTGGGCTACCTGGCTGGGCGAAGTCAACATATATGGTGGGGGAGAGCATCAAGCAGCCAGAAGGGGCAAGCAAGTGGCGACCGGGTGACCAGGTCAGGGGCGTGGCCAGTCAGAAGTCACTACCAGTTCGGCAACCCAAGCCAAATTGTTGCTACCAGTTCTCCTGAACCGGCGTGACTGGCTGAATACCACCACTGGTAACTTCTATATGTGTTCTCCGTATTTCTTTGATTCCATACAGCAGATCTGTGAGGTTTTGTAGCTCAGATTTGTTAGTGCTCATCAAGTAGGAAAATGACCCAGTGGACAAAGAATGTGTGGATTTAATGTGCTCTTAGTGGACTTAAAGGATGAATGAATGGCTGAGCTAAGAATCAATAAACAACTTAATTCCTTTCCAAAGTTATGTCACTCATAAGCTAAGCGCTGGCTCATAAAGGAGGAAAAACAATAGATAAAATGGACTAGACTACCAGCAGATCTGAAGAAAAAGTAGAGGCAAGTCAGCAAATTGCCATGTCTTTTATCCCATCATTCTGGTAGAAACTTTTGGTTTTTTAACAGATGGGTGGTTTTCCAAACAAGGATTGAGTATAATTATGCCTTTCTAAACATTAAACTTATTGAATTAATTTAATTTGTTTCTAATAATAACAATGATGCAGAAAAGTGACATATTGTTCAATAGCTTTCCACATTCTATTTTTTTAATGCCTAAAAAGTTAGGGATAATGACTGGTAATTTAAGAGTTGAGCTCAGGAGAATAGTTGAAATGAAAAAGTTTGATCTGTACATACATCTCAACAGGGTTTTTTATAAATCTTATTTATTATTCTGAATAAAATCATTGTGATAATATCTCACAGCCCGGGATTGTGAATATAATGTAGCACCCAAGTATACACTGTTCTTTTTAAATGATATTAACAAGAATTATTATCTACTTAGGTGCCCCAAGAATTTGAAGATGGGCATCTAAGAAAATTTCTTCCAAACACAGTTGGCTAACATGGGAAATGAAGAAGTCCACATTGCTTTCGACCAGGGGTGTCAAACTCATGGCACATGCTGGCCACATCCACCCTCATTTTAGCAAAGAGGGGGAAAGCCGCAATAGATCACATGATGAGAACATTACGATGCGAGTTTGACACCCCTGCTCTAGACCAAGGGAGATTGCCAACCACTGTCATTAACCTCATTACTTAACTTTAAATAGGAAGGAAACCTAGAAATAGCATTGCAACACTATAGGCTGCACATATATTCTGTAGAAAGATTGTTAATTTTAAAATTATTGAGTAAATATTGGGCAGAAACAAAGAAACTTTTGTAGTATTCATGTACCATCACTTAACAGAAATCTAGAGAGGCAGGAAAGTGGACAAATTTAGCTTGATTAATTGCCTGAATTATCTCATATGCCTCAAAATTTTGAATATCGTGTAGTCATGTAGTAACTTATGTCTTATTAAGAAATAAAAGAAGGCACTGTCCGTTGTCAGTTGAATCATTTCCTTTGAACTCCCAAAGTCATCATGACAACCATTTTTTTGCTTAATCCTGTCAATTTTGTCTTATATTGTCCCATCCTTATTCATATGTGGGAAGCCCCCCCCCCCCAGAATAATGAAGTACTTTGTGAAATATTAAAAAGGCAACATATTATATTTCCCTAAAGGAGAAATGGAGAAACATTCTCTTAAAAGACAGAAAGCAGACTCAATCTCCCTGCCCCCAGCAGAAACTGAGAACAGTTTTTAGAAATGCCAATTTGGTAATCCATTCAAGGCAGGATATTTTGAAACAAAGGCAGGATGGTAAGATTGGCCCTTACTCAAGATCCAACACAGGACAAAGCCATTAAGCCACAATAGGAATTGCCCAACACCCTTTCAAAGCAGTCCAACCTTCAACCAAACTTAGCTCAGACAAACACCTAGGATTTGTATTTCCTCTTTACCTATAGAGCCAGCTATGATCCTTACATAACCCCTTCATGACACCATAGGAATCTGACAACAGCCAGTAGAATACATGTTCTTGCACAGGAACAGGAAGCTCAAGTACAAAGCTCAAAGAAGATATAAAAAAGGCTCACTCTCAACTCCATTTTGTTATCTACACCAGAACCACAACATGTGGTCCTGTTCAACAATAAATGGACCCTCTTTCCAATCAGCCTCCAGCCTCTATTTTGTCTTCAGTACCTTTCTCCCAGATTGGAACTGGACCTGGATATTTCTTCCAACACGTATATCAACTAATACATTACCCAGCAGCTAATGAAAAAGGAAATTAATATAAGTTTGAAGAAGAAAATATTGACTTTTAAATTAAAAGCAAGCCCATTCCCCTAGGGTAGTTTCAAAAAAATTTCCAGCCCAGGCAGAGTAACATAGGTTGGGCATGGAAAATCAGCAGCAATTTATTGTTTCATGTACAGTATTTCCTGAATGCATGGGAAATGTCAAAAGGAGACTAAAAATTGAGCATTAAACATATTCTAGATACAACACTTCATTTCTCATGACTGTCATTTTATAGCATGACTTCTTTAATTTAAATTCACTGCTTCAATACAATTTCTGCAAAGGAAAATCTGTTTTCTTACTTTTACTCTCACTCCTGTGTATTCTGCTGATTAGGTTGACTATTAACAGAATTGTTGGCTCAATCTACTCCAACCTTTCCCCACCTGGTACTGGTTGGGGAATATTGTTACAGTCCAAATTATCTGAAGAGTGTTAAGCTGTGGAAGGTGATTTTATTCCTGATTTCTTAGATATATCTTTTACCAGAGTGTCACTTGAGAGGTTTGTTTTCCTGAAGATTGCTAATTTATTATATGGGGCATGTTTTGAATATACCCAGCTTTTATTCAATTACATTCTAATTCTTTTTCGCATTGTAGAGTGGCTTATATTCCTTTTATTTTACACAAGCAGCAGTAAATCAAAATCTCTTTGCATTCTGTTTCATTAAAAACTAGTTCCCATTTTTCCTTGTCCAAGAACAAATTGGTTTAACTTAGCTGTCTAAATGCCTTTGTTTTACAGATGCTGAGAATACTTTATTTCACAGTTTTACTTTTTTCTTGTAAAAAAAACAAAAACAAAACAGTCTTGACAGAGAGAGACTCTTACAAGGATAAACCATTGTTGCCATGAGGGGAAGCAAATTAAAAAATATGCAAAGCAACATTTTCATACAAATGCTTCAATTTCTTGTGTATTTGTATAAAATGTTAAAACATAAGAATCTAAGGAATGCATTTGCATAGTTATGTCACTATGCCTGTCATTATTTTGATATTCTGATATCACAGTATGCTATGTATATCTGTGTTAAGGGCTGTCTTCCTTGGATTTACTATTAGTTGATTAATCATCCTGGTTGCTGTTTATAATTACTTATTTTGGGGATATTATTTTAATTTTATTGTTTAAATTATATATATAATTTGTTTTCTGAGGTTTTATATATATACATACATATAAAATATATATTATATATATATATATATATATAAAAGCAAAATACCACTCACACATCATCACAAAATCTCCAAAATTGTAAAGCCTACAAACTTGAAATTTGGCACGTATGTTCCTCTTGGCTTCTAGGCGCTTGCTAAGAAAGGATTTTTAAAAATGACCATCAGAGCATTAGTATTTCCTATATTATCATTAACACGCTCTGATGCTAAGGAGTTCTACTCCCTCTCCCTATCTGAAAAGAAAACTGTTCCACTGCCAAATACAAGCAAAACACAAGCAAACGAGTTGTACTAAATGTTCTGTACAAGCAAATGTTCTGTAGTTTGTTCTGCTCAGGCTCCTTGCTGTCTCCTTCTTGCTCACACAGCAAATACTGTTTCAGTTTCCATGTAAAATGTGAGGACCGGTCGTAAGTGTGAGGATGCTAGCCAGATGAATATCAATGGATGCTGGTAGGCAGAGGCAGAATTTTTGTTTCCTTGTTTTCTTCCCCAAAAACCTAAGGTGTTTTTTATACTCCGGAGCATCTTGCCCGCTCACATAGTTATGTAGCAAAGCACGAGTACCCTGCTAGTTGTTTGATGGTTTTAGAATAATAAGCCACCCAGAATCACTTGGTTGAGTTGAGCAGCTATAGAAATCAAGTAAATAAATCTCAAGACAGCCACTACAGAAATTATAGCTATAAGCTATTGGATTGTATTAATGCATCAAGCAGAAACCCACATATTTGGGGTATGGATATAAACAGGTGAGAGACTAGGAAAAAAATAATGTTTGAGAAGGAGGAGGAAAACAAATGAAGAAAACAGTGATTACAGAACAGTGTACAGGATTTTACAGGACTGTCCATGGAGTAAGTAGGAGACCAGACAAGACTGGGAAACTGGGAGCATTTTAAACTAAACCAAATCCACAAATATTAGAGAATTCCAGGAAACTTGGCATTCAGACTAATAAACCATCAATAGATGAACAATATTCAAAAAAGACAGTAAGAAAGCTAGGAAGGTAACACAAAAAAACAGAACACATTCACTCCAGCAGGCTTACACCCAGGTAAGCAGGGATTAACAGCAGACAACAATCAAGCAGAAATCAATACCCTAATCAAGGTAGTTCCACAGAGAAAAACATGTGCCCCCAATAGTGACGGGGAACATAACAGATAACAGATAATCAGAGTTGGGAGGGACCTTGTAGGTCACCTAGTCCAGCGGTAGCCAACCAGTGGGCTGTGAGAAAATTTTGTGGTCCACAGAGAAATGTCAACCCCAGAACACCCCCCAAAGCAATTAATCCAGGCTGCACAGGAACACAAGGCTGTGCCGCCCACATGGCCCGTGGGAACCCTCCCCGCCCATTCACTCCTTATCTGGCAAACTTGCCTGCTAAGTTGCTATTTTTCCTTTTTTTCCCGACCATCTGCTGTACCGGGAGATTTAGATTAGCTAGAAAGCAGGAACCCTGTTGCATTTCTTTCTTTCTAGCTAGTCTTTAGATCTTCAGCTCTGCTTTTAAGCAGAGCTGAACTTTCCTTAGGACTGAAGCTTCTATTATTCAATGCAGCCTCACTGCAAGCAAATTTTATGTGACAGACTCAGGTAGCTGATGGCAAATAGATAGATCTCTGAATGATTCTGTGAGCAACTCAATCTGCCTGCCTGCTTTGCTGATTTTGGGTAAAAGTTGCTTTTTTATAAAAAAAATCAATATTTACATAAATATTTATAATATTTACATACAAGCCATGCCCAACCAGTCACATGACCAGGCCACACCCACAAATTAGACCACACCCACAGAACCAGTTAGTGGTCCCTGGGATTTAAAATTATGAGTTTGGTGGTCCCTGAGGTCCAAAAGGTTGATGAACCCTGATCTAGTCCAACCCCCTGCCCTACCCTACACCATTTCTGATAAATGGCAGTCCAATCTCTTCTTGAAAGTCTCAAGTGATGATGCTCCAAAAACTTCCAAGGGTAAGCTGTTCCATTAGTTGATTGTTCTCACTGTCAGAAAGTTTCTTCTTAATTCCAGGTTAAATTTCTCCTTGTTCAGTTTCCATCCATTATTCCTTGTCTGGCCTATAGGCACTTTAGAAAAGAGCTTGACCCCTTCCTCTCTCAAATATTGGAAGACTGCTATCATGTCTCCCCTGGTCCTTCTCTTCACTAGACTAGCCATGCCCAGTTCCTGTAACCGTTCTTCATATGTTTTAGTCTCCAGTCCCCTAATCATCCTGGTTGCTCTTCTCTGTACTTTTTCTAGAGTCTCAACTTTTATATTCTCTTTTATAATGTGTTGACCAAAACTGGATGCAGTACTCTAGGTGTGTACTGCTGATATATATAGAAGATATTCTATATAAACAGGGAGTAAACCTCACATTCATTAGCACTGATGATGTTACTTAAATGGATAATGAAATGTCTGCAAGCAAACAACCAAACTCTAAAAGCACTAAGGACTATACACTTCAACCCTAAACTACATATATTATCTTGTCTTCTATTCTACTGATGTTTGTGAGCATTATCCTCATGATTTATGACAAAATGAATATCCATAGTAAATGGATTCTCTGAGTATATTGAGTAGTCAGAGGTTTGCTGCTTCTACATGTCGAACTTTCAATTTAAATGGCATGAAATTTAAATGCCCAGGAATTTGCATGTACATTTTTAATGGAAACCAATTAGGTTTAGTGAACATCACCTGTCATGCCTATGTCGGAATCTGATTCTGAGGGGAAGGCCAAGCAGCTGACAGGGAAACAGGGGAAGAGCAAAGTCCAGCTTGACAGAGCAGGGGAGAGATAGAGCAAGGCAGAGAGAATTCAGAAGAAGACTCAGAACATAATCAAAACGTAATCACCAAACCGGTAGTAACACTGGTTGAATCCCACCCCTGGCTTATATCATACAGAAAACTCTTGATTTCCTGGATATGGGCTTTGCAGAGTTATTTGTTTGTTTATTTCCATTTCTACAGCTGCCCATCTCAATCCAATTGACTCTGAAGAGTGAACAATTTTGGATCAACCAAAATTACATGTGTTTACCATGCATAAAATCCCTTTGCTATTAAACTGAAATTTAGTTCTGATGAATCCAACTTCTCCTTAGTCCCTTAAATCAAGATATATACAGAATGGAGAATGTGTGTATCCTTGCAAAACTATTCTTAATCCCAACTTCCAATATCACCTGCAATTTCCCCCAAAGGTCTCAAAGTGTGTGTGTGTGTGTGTGTGTGTGTGTGTGTGTGTATGTATATTTGTTTTCTGAGGTTCTCGCGGGTATTTGTATGTGGATCTTTGGTTGTTCGGGTTTTCTCCCGCGTAAGATTCGAAGTATCTAGGCAACGTTTCGATGAAGTCTCATTCATCATCTTCAGGCTTCTGTCTCCGGCTCTGTGCTTCTCAGAGTAATGTGAGATTGCAGCTGCTTCCTCCTTTTAACTGCCAGTGGGGGTGGGACTTGATTGGGTGGGGGCTTGGCTGTGTTCTGATTGGGTGGGGGTGTGTTCTCATTGGTAGGGGGTTTGGCTGTGTTCTGATTGGTTGGGGGGTTAGCCGTGTTCTGATTGGTTGGAGGCGTGTTCTGTTCAGGTGGGGGCTTGGTTGTGCTCAGGTTAGTCTTAGTTGCTGGGGGATTTGAGCTGGTGAGTTGTGATCTTGCTGTTTGGCTTCGTGTTCGTGGTCCTTCTGCATCTTCATAGTGGGTGTCGGTTTGCTTCATGTATGGCTCGGAGGGGTTTGAAGTGGGTAGTGATGCAGCTGCCGTGCAGCTTCTGGTCCATGGTCGTGTCTCATCTTCTGAGTGGGTGGGAGTCTGTTTTCTACATGGAAGTGTGGTGGTGGCATCTTGTGTGGCTCTCATGGGTGTGGGTCTGGTGTCCTTCTTCATGTTAGGTACTCGTCTGTTCATGAGGGCAGGTTTCCAAATGGCTATCTACATGCACTCTCACACCACCACCCAGCACAGATCAATTCCGTAGCCAAGACACTCATCTCCAGAACAAAATGCTTAGCCGATGAACAACACCAAAAAACCGAACTACACACTCTCACCAATGTACTTGCAGCCAATGGATTCCAAAGAAAGATTACCCACCTAATCCAAAAAGAAACCCCAACCAAAATCCAAGACAGAGAACAAGAAAACGGCAAAGCCCTCCTCCCATATATAAAAGGCACTAAAGACAAAATCAGCAAGATCCTCCAAAAACACAACATTAAAACAGCATTCTTTACAAACAGAAAAATATCCACCATCCTAAGAAACCCCAAAGACAAAATCGAATTAGAAAACCAAGGAGTATACGAAATCCCCTGCACTGCCTGCCCTACCACATACATTGGACAAACTAACAGAAGAATAAGTGCACGCATTGAAGAACATAAGAACTCAATCAAAAAAGAAGAAACGACCTCTTCCCTGGTCCAACACCTCAAAACCACAGGACATGAAATTGACTTTAAAAATACCAGAACCATCGCCAAAACCGAACACTTCAACAGCAGAATAATCAGAGAAGCCATAGAGATAGAAAAACGCCCACACAGCATGAACAAATGAGATGACACCTCCCACCTTCCAGCCATTTGGAAACCCGCCCTCATGAACAGACGAGTACCTAACATGAAGAATGACACCAGACCCACACCCATGAGAGCCACACAAGATGCCACCACCACACTTCCATGTAGAAAACAGACTCACACCCACCCAGAAGATGAGACACGACCATGGACCAGAAGCTGCACTGCAGCTGCATCACTACCCACTTCAAACCCCTCCGAGCCATACATGAAGCAAACCGACACCCACTATGAAGATGCAGCACGACCACGAACTCGAAGCCAAACAGCAAGATCACAGCTCACCAACTCAAATCCCCCAGCAACTAAGACCAACCTGAGCACAACCAAGCCCCCACCTGAACAGAACACGCCTCCAACCAATCAGAACACGGCCAACTCCCCAACCAATCAGAACACAGCCAAACCCCCTACCAATGAGAACACACCCCCACCCAATCAGAACATAGCCAAGCCCCCACCCAATCAAGTCCCACCCCCACTAGCAGTTAAAAGGAAGAAGCAGCTGCAATCTCACATCACTCTGAGAAGCAAGAGCTGAAGACAGAAGCCTGAAGATGATGAATGAGACTTCATCGAAACGTTGCCTAGATACTTCGAATCTTACGCAGGAGAAAACCCGAACAACCAAAGATCCATATATATATATGTTTTCTGAGGTTCTCGCGGGTATTTGTATGTGGATCTTTGGTTGTTCGGGTTTTCTCCCGCGTAAGATTCGAAGTATCTAGGCAATGTTTCGATGAAGTCTCATTCATCATCTTCAGGCTTCTGCCTGCACAGCCAACCCCCCTACCAATGAGAACACACCCCCACCCAATCAGAACACAGCCAAGCCCCCACCCAATCAAGTCACACCCCCACTAGCAGTTAAAAGGAAGAAGCAGCTGTAATCTCACATCACTCTGAGAAGCACAGAGCCGAAGACAGAAGCCTGAAGATGATGAATGAGACTTCATCGAAACGTTGCCTAGATACTTCGAATCTTACGCGGGAGAAAACCCGAACAACCAAAGATCCATATACATACATACATACATACATACATACATACATATATATATATATATAAAATGTATATGTTTATGTATGCATATAAGTATACTTTGCATATGGAGGTGAAACATTACTATCATCTACCAAGAACTTTCACCTGGGAATGTCGGTGAAAATATATGGTTGGGTAATTTAATGCTTAGCAATTTTATAACTGGAGTGAAAAGAGTTATACCAGGAATTCTGATCAAAAATATCAGTCAAATGGGAAATGTGAAACATCAAGGAAAAAGCAAGCAAGCAAGCATTCACTAGGTTCAGTTGAAAATGTTTTTCCTGGCCTATCTGCTGCCCAACTATTCGAAATGTGATTGGATCCATTTTTTATGATCTGCTGCAGGAAACAATCTTCCATTCCTGCTGTTTTCTTAATGTATTGTGTAGTTTCTAAATCTGATCTTAATGTAGCTGAAAAGCTGTAAATTGGGGGGAAATGCAGGAGAAATGCTGCTCATTTGATGAGTAAAACATTAAGAGTATAATATATTAATCAGTTATTACAAAAAATGCTTTTTATCCATTTACTGCTCCAAAGTGTCCAGTGTGTAGTTTTTCCAATATGGTGAATTTGGTATGGTGAATTTCATCCACCAGATAAATACCATGTCTGTCAAGTGTAAGTTTATCATGACTAAGATTTTTGTGTGTAGATTTGAAGCATATTGGGTCTCTCCTAGTTTCTTCTTAAATTGTAACAGATAAAACAGGAAGATTGTTAGAAAACACATTAAAAGATCTGATAAGGATTTTTTCAGACTGTTTACTCTATAGAAGTAAATCAAAGAATTCATCTGAATTTATATGACTATGTTTCCTTTCAATCAGAGATGGGCTGCACATACTGTAACAGCCGGTTTGCATAGCGCAGAACTGAAGATTTGTGTATGTGTGTGCATGTCCCCCATGCTTGTGCACGGCTACAAAAACACAGAGATTTCCTGAACTGGTCTGAACTAGCAGCAGCCTACCACTGCTTTTGATGCTATTTTGTACCTGAAAGCTTAAAGAACAGCAAATATAAGTAGTTATTTTTTATTAATTGAAAATTGAGAGTTGTGACCAATAGTAAAAAATGAGGATAGATTTCTTTTTGCATTGGCGAAAGTGCTTAACTCCTCCGTGTCCCTCTGTCAATTTGTGCATGATTTTTCCCCCCTGCAAATAAACCTTTGCTACAATGATAGTATAGTTCATTTGGACCTGTAACAGTTTGTCTGGATGAATATTACCATGTGTTTATTTACCTTTGCTTTTACTGGTGACTTTAGCTCTGAAATACCTCTAGCAGCAATTACCACAATAAAAAAGTAAATAAAATAATAATAATAATAATAATAATAATAATAATAATAATACTAATAATACTAATAATAATAATTAATCAAAAAGAAAACAAAAGCAAAATAAACTCAAAGGGTAGACTCGATGAACTATTAGGCCTTTTTCTGCTGTCGGTTTTCTGTGTTTCTGTAATTCCATCTTAATGCACCATTTAGACATCTTTTAAAATTCAGCTGCATATTCTGCAAAGGACTCTTCCATTTTGGTATGCATTCATGAAATCTAAGTCTCTGCAATCAATAATGGTTTGGGTGCAAAATGTTTCTGTATTTGTTTTATTAGTTCTTCAAAACTGAATGGTGAGACTTTCAGGATGGCGGCTAAGCTTTTTTTTTTTTTAAAAAAAAAAAACCTGTATGCTTTGTTTCCCATAATAATCAATAGTACAACAAGAAACTTTTTTCAGAAAATGTTTCATTTGCCTCAAAAAAGATGTTTGTGTGACTTCCGGGTTGAGCCTCCTCGCTGACGGACCGTAGATCGCAACTCTCCGTGGCTATGGTCTGTGCTCTTTGGTTGGAGAGCCCCGATCATCACGATTAGGGGCTGAAGCTGCCTTGGAGGGGTGGTGGAGTAAGGGGAAGCTGCAAGCCAGGTTGAGGGGAGCTGCATCTCCCCTCCTGGGCTTGGTCTTTTTCCCCCCGAAGATGACTGCAGCAGTGGTTTAAAATGGCCACCCCAAAGAGGAGGACTCAGCTGGACTAAGATTTGTGCAGTAGGGAAGAAAGAGGTGGATAACATCTGAGCCGGGACAACTGGGTGATACAACTAAACAAAAGTACCCCAGGATTAAGATAACATGGAATTTTTAAGAAAAGAAAAGTGAGTAAAAAGTAATAATTTTTTTATTTAGGGTTTTTCGAACCTCAATATTCCAGCACAGTCCAGTCTCCAATTTGTAAATGTTATTATTATTATTTTCTGACAATCTTAAGTCCAGCTTTATTTTATGCCTATTTATTTCCAAAAGATTTTAGTCCAATTTAATTAAATCTTTAGTTCCAGCTTCTTCCTTTCCCAGTTCGAAGCCCCACTTAGCTGTCAAAAATATTTGCTTTTTTTCCCCCTGTCCCTTTGTAATTTCACCGCTCACACAAAATAGGGGGAAAAGGTGAAGACTTTGTATAATGGAGAGTGCCATCTTTTGACAAAAACCTGAGCTCAAACAAAAGGGAAAGCATCCTGTTTCTGAATGAACTTGTGTGGATATAACATTAAAGAAATATTGAAACAAAGTAAGAATCTTAGAAAGTGAAAGCAGAACCAGAATAAAGAAAAAAGCAAGGAAAGACTGACTGTGGGATTAATTGATGTTTTTGGTATAGACCCTCAGCTGGAATAACTGAGAACTTTAGAAAATTGAAAGAAGAAAGAAGGAAAGTAAAAGTGTTTTTTTTGTGTGTGTGTGTGGACATTAACAATCATAAAATATAAGAGTATGTAATGA